ACTAGCACGGGAGCAGTCCTTCAGTCCATCGAGACACCGAGGTAGCCTTGCAGGCGTCCGCAGGCCCGGTGTCTCTTCTATCCTTACATTAGACTGTCATCTCATTGTATTCGAGATAAACAAATTTATGTTTCTTTCAGACTTTGTATTTAGTACTTCTTAGATGTTCGTGAGTATGTGACTCCAGTTCTTGAGTAGAGGTACATGTTGGGATTTCTTGTTTCGTTCAGCTATCTAAATTTGAGACTTCCGCTTATGATTTCAATTCGTTGCTTTTATCTTAATGCTGTTAATTATCAGAAAGGATCATGTGTTTAAATGAAAAGTAATTAAGTTTGGCTTGCCTAGCTCTTGTTAGTAGGCGCCATCACGACCCCCGAGGGTGGGAAATCCGGGTCGTGACACATCTCTTAGCGGAACTCGACAAAATAAAATGTAGCAAAATCGACACCATTAGTCTCCACTATACCTATGTTCCACAACACCACATGACACCTGTCAAGATAATCTTGGGGGTCCTCTGAAGATGCACCGCTGAAGTGAACTGGAAAGAGCTTGGTAAACCTGTCCAATCTCCATAAAGCCTCAGAAGACATAGATGATCCATCACCAGCCTTCGCCGCAACACACGGCTGAACTACCCCAACTGGCTGGGATGCTGGAGTCCGAAACTGGGGAGCCATCTGCTTTAGAGAGTGAGTAGTAGGGGTTTATGCTCCTCCCCAGCTTGAGAGATGGCTTGTGCCACCGAAAATGTACCGGCTTGTGCCACACTCTCCATAAGGCCCACTAGACAGACCAAGGCATCCTGAAGCACTGGAGTGGCAATGAACCCCTCCAGGACCTGAGCTGGTCCTACTGGAACAGTCAGGGCTGGAACTTCCTGGTCAAACTCTACCTGAGGCTCCACTGCTGGTGCTACTGCTCGAGCTCAGGGCTGAGCTCTGCCCCTGCCTCAGCCTCTGACACGACCTCGGCCTCGACCCTTTCCCCTTGTAGGAGCTGCCACTGGGGGCTCTGGCTACTGTTCAGCTGAAGACGCAGTACATGTTCTTGCCATCTGCGAGAGAATAAGAGTAGAAGAGTTCAATTAGCAATAAGAGAACAAAATCGCACGATAGAGAAGAATAGAAGTGAAATTTGCTCCTAAATGTCATAGCCTCTGGAAGATAAGTACAGACGTCTCCGTAGCGATCCTCCAGACTCTACTAAGCTTGTTCGTGAATTGTGAGACCTAGGCAACCTAGTGCTCTGATACCAACTTGTCACGACTCGGAATTCCCATCGTCGGGATCGTGATGGAGCCTAACAATTCACTTGCTAGGCAAGACAACGTTAGAAATTTTTGTTAAACCAAACCTTACTCGATTCAACAAATAATAGTAAACAAGTTAAAAATGAAATACTACGAGTGCGTAATAATAATAAAACTTCAGCAATTACCACTACCCGGATCTGGTGTCACAATTTCACGAACATTCTAGGATTTACTACAGTTACAAGGTTTGAAAGAAGTTCAACTATTTGAACGAGAGAAAAACAGTAATACAGAAAAGATAGACGGGGACTTCAAGGTATGTGAACGTCGACAGATCTACCTTGAGTCTACGGAGATCCGGTCCGAGCTGCTATACCTTGATCAATTGGGACCAATACCAAAATCTGCATAGAAAGTGCAGAGTGCAGTATCAGTACAACCGACCCCATGTACTGGTAAGTGTCGAGCCTAACCCAACGAAGTAGTGACGAGACTAAGACAAGATGCCACAAATAAACCTGTGCAATTTAACAGTATATGTACAAATAACAGCAAAGAAAGAAACTAGACAAGAAATATCGGGAGGGGGACATACTAAGGGGATCACAAGCTAAAGAATCATAGCAGTAAATAAGAACTTGCTCAACTGGTATACTTTGAACAGTAAGAACAAGTAAACAATGTAAAAGAAAATGCACGACATCACCCTTCGTGCTTTTACTCTCAACCTCACCACATAATCAATAAAAATGGCACGGCATCACCCTTTGTGCTTTTACTCTCATCCTCACCATATAATCAATAAAAATGGCATGACATCACCCTTCGTGCTTTTACTCTCATCCTCACCATATAATCAATAAAAACGGTATGACATCACCCTTCGTGCTTTTACTCTCATCCTCACCATAAGGCATCAAAGTGTTGATGTGTTTTTACATCAACACTTGGTTCCACAATACCAATCTCAACTTTGAAATCAATGCCCAATTATCACCAAAAGATCTGGAAAACAAACATGAACGATCAACTTGATTATACTAGTCTAAACATGGATAGCATGATCAAAAGAAAAAAGTAATTACAAGAAACCATGTCCTACCCCCATGCTTTACCCGACAACAACATATAGATACTCGTCACCCCACATATACGGTTTACTCTACATCTAAACAAGTAGCAAATAGACAGATAAGTCCTAATCCCTCAATTCATGGTTAAACACGACACTTAACTCACTCCGCAGTCACTTTAAAGCTCAACCGGGGCCTTTCCTCAAGAATTCCCCTCCAAAACACTCCTATCTAGCCACAATTAACTCAATAATATCAAATATTGCTAAAGGAATCAACTACAATGCATAAATTTAGATTTTCCAAACTTTTTCCCAAAAAGTCAAATATTGCCCCCGGGCTTGCTTGGTCAAAACTCGAGGTTCGGACCAAAATTCATTTACCCATGTCATGCCCCGAGCCTGGGGGCGAGACCGGCACCCAGTGCCTCACCTATCATTGCGTATCACTTACGACTAAGAGTCTCTGAACATGTAATGTCATACTTTGGTCATGGGCCACATTACAAGATAATGTGCGATGCAAAATATAAAACTGAATAAAGACTAATGCTGACTAAATGTCAACATAAAGCTGGGCCGGTAAGGCCGTCATAATTACTACAACTGACAAGTCAATAAAATATACGTACATGGTCTACAAGCCCAACATACTGCACTAACTGACAGGATATGTCTACAAGCCTCTACTGATAGATGTACTGTGATCGTAACAGGGTCCCAACCTACCCGTATCCTATCTACATATATACACAAGATGTACACAAAACATCTAGACCTGGCAACTCTGAAGGACGGGTAGCTTACCGATAAAGCTGAACTTGGGCAAACACCTACTGAAGAGGTCTACCGTCTGTCTTCTGAACCTGTACGCATGAAATGCAACGCCCCCAAAAAGGGACGTCAGTACGAAAAAATGTACCGAGTATGTAAGGCAAAATACTGAAAGCAGAAACTGAACTGATAATATAATAACTGAAAACAGTTGGGGATCAAAGATAATCTGAAGATATGCTCACCTGCTGATACTGATTCTATTCTCTCAATATAATAAGTAAAATAGTTGTCCGGACTTATAAGGCTCGGTAAATATATATAACTGCTCTGTCGTAGTAGGCTCGCTCATAGGAGCTCGACCATACTAGGCTCTATGTCTCGACCAACTGAGCTCGCTCGTAGGTGCTCGTCCACAGTAGGATCGGTATATAACTTACCATCTGATCAGAGGTTGCCCAATAGGGGCCTGCCCATCGATTATAGCTCGATGGTAATGAAAATAATTTAATATTGTATGTATAAACTCTCTGCTTTCTTGACTGGAAGAAGAAAATACGCAATTAAATATGAAGTCCCGATAAGGAGAATATTGTAACTTACAAAACTAGGAAAATATACGTAATTTGCGAGACTAGCAAAATATACGTAAATTCCGGGATATGAATTTTTCTTTATGCCTCGTTATCAAACTTGTGTAATGACGAGATCATGAAAAAATTAAGGAAGAGCTTAGCCTTAACATACCTGGAGTAGGAAAAAATCTGTATGATATTCGTGGAAAAGATTACACCGTACTCCCTTAGAACCGCAAAATTTTACGTTTGCTAAATTTTGTTGGAACGTGTAGGAAATCAGGTTGCTTAATGAAATATGTATATGCTGGTTTCATGTCTTTAGGAATGAAACTTGAAAGAGTTTCAAAAAGGCCTAACGTTTCTGTCTAAGTTTTGAAACCTTTTAGAGTGAAATTGCACGGTTTGTTTTAGTCTTTAATTGAAAGACTTTGATTAGGCAAAGTCTTGGAAATGAAACATATTGTAACTTCAGGACACCCTAGCAAGTCATTCCTTTATAACATGGCTAGCTGCCACGTGGGGTTGGGGTGAAATATTTAATCTTTATTCACTTATTAGGTAATTAGATAATGTCTCGTTATTCAGTAATTAACCAATTACCTGCATAATTAAAAATCGTCTCAAATTTCGTAAAATTCTACTTATATTTAGTATACTTTATACATCATACTATCGTGGTCATACGGTACATTGCATGGTACTAGTCCATAAGTATCGGGCATTAACGCCTGACCCGTTGTTTATCCCAATTCAACAAACTTCAACGAAACTTATTTTCTTTAATTCGGGTACCCTTTCCTTCATGGCACTTACTTATTGCTTGGTATAAATATCATAACTATGCTAATATCAAGGTAATCTCATCCCCGAGTTTATGTCAATTTACTGAAGACGAAACTTTAACGTCAGAAAAATGCGAGATGTAACATCCTTCCCCCTTAGAAACATTCATCCTCGAATGTCTACTCTTAGATACTTTGGTAAAAGTTTTGTCGGAGTCTCTTCCGTACACTATACTGAAACCACCCCGCACGCAGCCAGAAAACATACTATATATGCCACACTTGGCCTCACACAATTGTCTACCACTAATTCGGAAAGTACAAAATAAGAGCTTACCGGAGAACCTATTGGCCTGAATGGGGTTGTGCTGAGGTATCCCATCTCGAGCCATATTTCCAGTTTGAAATAGATGGGGTTATTTAGACTTCATTTTTTCCTCCCATTTCCATGTTGGGATCTCTATTGTCTGCATTATCCCTCCGGGCTTCTGTGCTCTATCTTCACCTGCTGGCAACTAGGACACTGAGTGACATACTCAGCAATGTTCTTCTTCATCGTTCCACCAATACACCTCCTTAATGTCATGATACATCTTCATCGACCCAGGGTAAATGGAGTACCGCGAATAATGTGCCTCTGACATAATCTTGTCTCGTAGCCCTGCTACATCTGGAACACACAAATGACCCTTGTATCTGAGAACCCCATCTCCTTTGAGTTCTAACAATGGTTTCCTCTGCTGTGGAACCCGCTTTCTCAACTTGACCAACTCCGGGTCCTCGTACTGCCTCTCCTTTACTTCAGTTATGAGAAATAATTTTGCGGTATTTTGGAGTACAACTCCTCCATTGCCAGAGTCTAGTAACCGAACCCCCAAACAAGCCAATTGATGATTTTCTTTGGCTAATTGTCTTTTTCGGCTTCTATATGTGCTAAGCTACCCATAGATCGGCGAGTTAAGGAATCTGCTACAGCATTAGCTTTCCCTGGATGGTAGAGAATGTTAACATCATAATCTTTCAATAACTCAAGCCATTGCCTCTATCGCAAATTAAACTCTTTTTGCTTGAAGATATATTGTAGGCTTTCATGATATGTGAACACATCAACATGAACACCATATAAATAATGCCTCCATATCTTAAGTGCATGGACAACCGCAGCTAATTCGAGGTCGTGGGTCGGATAGTTCTGCTCATGCTTTCTTAACTGCCTTGAAGCATACGCAATTACTCTCCGATGTTGCATCAGGACACATCCTAAATACATGGCATAACCATTTGGACCCTCTGGAAGTGCTAGAACTGGTGCTGAGGTCCACCTGTTCTTAAGCTCTTGCAAACTCCGCTCACAGGCCTCTTTCCACTGAAACTTAGTCACTTTCTGCGTCAGCTTCGTTAATGGTGCTGAAAGAGAAGAAAAACCCTCTACGAACCTCCGGTAGTATCGTGCTAAGCCTAGAAAGCTACGAATCTCTGTCGGAGTGGTAGGTATAGGCCAGGATTTCACAGCCTCAATCTTCTAAGTGTCTACCTTTATACCTCCATCGGATAAAATGTGCCCCAAGAATGCTACAGACTTTAACCAGAACTCACACTTAGAAAACTTAGCATACAATTTATTATCACGGAGGGTTTGGAGTACCGCTCGCATGTGGTCCACATGCTCATCCTCTGAACGTGAATAAACCAGAATATCATCAATAAAGACTATTACGAACAGATCTAAATATGGCCGGAATAGGCTATTCATCAAGTCCATAGATATGGCAGGTGCATTCGCCAACCCGAAGGACATGACAAGGAACTCGAAGTGGCCATATCTGGTCCTGAAGGCTGTCTTGGGGATATCTTTCTCTTGAACTCTGACCTGGTGGTATCCCGACCTCAAATCTATTTTTGAAAAGCATCTAGCTCCATGTAATAGATCAAACAAGTTGTCTATCCTTGGTAGTGGATACTTATTCTTAATAGTTACCTTGTTCAGTTGCCTATAATCGATACACATCCTCAGCGAGCCATCTTTTTTCCGCACAAACAGTACCGGTGCACCCCAAGGTGAAGTACTGGGCCTGATGAAACCTTTCTCCAGCAAATCTTTTAACTACTCCTTCAACTCCTTCAATTCGGCAAGTGTCATTCTATACGGAGTAATGGATATTGGTTGTGTTCCAGAAAGCAAATTGATGCCAAAATCAATATCTCGCTCTGGAGGAATACCTGGAAGTTCATCTGGAAATATATCTGCATACTCCCTTACTACTGGAATAGACTGAAGTGTAGGTATCTCAGCATCTGCATCTTTAACTCACACAATATGATAAATGCACCCTTTTGCAATCATTTTCCTTACCTTCAGATAGGAAATAAACCTACCTATGGGTGTCGCTGTATTACCTACCCATTCAAGGACTGGCCCACCTGGGAAATGAAATCTGGCTGTCTTTCCTCGACACTCAACTGTGGCATAACAAGCTACCAACCAGTCCATGCCCATGATAACATCAAAATCCAACATCACTAGCTCAACTAGGCCGGCTGAGGTCTGATGACCACAAACTAATACCGTACAACCTCGGTAAACCCGTATAGCGATAATCGATTCTCTGATCGGTGTAGATACTGCAAAGGATCACTTAGTATTCCAGGCACTATACCAAATTTCCTCGCGACAAATGGGATAATACATGATAAAGTAGATCCTTGGTCTATCAGGGCATAAACATTGTGGGAACAAATGGTCAACATACCTGTCACAACGTCTGGTGAGTACTCTTGGTCTTGTCGGCCCGCTAGCGTATATATACGATTCTGGTTACCACCTGAACTGGACCCTCTACCTCTGCCTCGACCTCTACCAGCCGAAGACTGAGACTCGCGCCCTGAAGGATGCACGGACATAGCTGATCCTGTTTCTGAATTTGCTGGTTGCGCCATACCCCCAGAATCTCTATTTGGCAATCTCGCATCATATGCCCCGGACGTCCACATGTATAGCAAGCATCGGAACCGGCTCAGCATTGGCCCAAGTGTCCTTTACCGCAGATGGCACACTGCGACGGAAATGGCCATGTCTGCCCCGAACTTGGTTGTCGCTGCAAAATTGATGCTTGGGAGCTCTCACTTGGTCCTGACTGAGTATAACGATCATACCTATAACCTTGTGACTGAGGTGGCGGAGGTCTAGGTGGACGTTCGAAGTACTGGGGCCTATAACTACCCTGAGACTATTCCTGAGATCTGGCAAATATCATCCTCTTCTGCTGCCCTGATTCATCCCTCTCCGTACCCTGCTGGCGATACCTACCCCTTTCTATATTCTAGGTAAATGCCTAAATTCGGGTGATATCCTTACTATCCTGCAATGTAGCGGTGGCACATGCCTCGGTCAACTCTAGGGCCAACCTTGCTATAAACCTGTTGACCCTGTCCCGCATAGTAGCAACTATGGATGGTGCATATGTTACCAATGAGTCAAAAAGGAGACTATACTCTCGAACACTCATATTGCCCTGCTTGAGGGCTAGAAACTGATCGACTCGGGCCTGTCGGCTCTCTCGCGGTAAGTACTAGTCAAGGAAGGCATCTGAAAAATTCTCCCAATTAGCTGGAGGTACATCACGTCCCCTGGACCTTTCCCATCCCTCATACCAAAGGATGGCTATATCTCGGAGCCGAAAAGCTGCTAGCTCAACTGCCTCTTTTTCCGTGGCATGCATAACCCGAAAGATCCTGTGAAGCTGATCTATAAAATCCTGCGGGTCCACCCTCTGATTTGTCCCCGCGAACTCTGGAGGACTCAAAGAAATAAATTCTCGGACCTTTGAACTCCCAAATCCCTCGTAAGGTCCTGTACTAGCGGATGCCCTAGTTTGTTGTTGGGTAGCTACCAACTATGCCAACAAATGCACCGCACTCCTTAAGTGTTGATCTGATGGAAGCAGAGGGGGAACTGGATGTGCGGTCTCCCTAGGAATCTCCTCAGGTGGCGGAGGAGCCGGTAATGGCTGGGTAGGGGTCTCTCCCCGCGACACTGATTGGGCCCAATCCGCTGGGGGTACCCTGGTAGTCCCCTCACCTACTGTTGTTTCTCTCCTCTGGCTAGATGTAGTCTTCCTAGTTACCGTCATCTCTGCATGCAAACGTCAACACGTAAGTTTAACTCAAATTTCCTATAACTCAGTGCTACAACACGATTTAAATTTAAAAGAAGGGTAACCAACTCCTAAATGCCCTATAGTCCCGTACTTATATAATGTGGTGCACCACATATCTATCCAAAAGACCCTACTAGACACGACTTGTAGACTCCCCTAGGACAGAACTGCTCTGATACCACTTTTGTGACTCCTTGAGCCTGGGGGCGAGACCGGCACCCAGTGCCTCACCTATCGTTGGGTATCACTTGCGACTAAGAGTCTCTGAACATGTAATGTCATACTTTGGCCATGGGCCACATTACAAGATAATATGCGATGCAAAATATAAAACTGAATAAAGACTAACGCTAACTAAATGTCAACATAAAGCTAGGCCGGCAAGGCCGTCATAATTACTACAACTAACAAGCCAACAAAATATACATATAGGGCCTACAAGCCCAACATACTGCACTAACTGACAGGATATGTCTACAAGCCTCTACTGATAGATGTACTGTGATCGGAACAGGGCCCCGACCTACCTATATCCTATCTACATATATACAAAAGATGTACACAAAACTTCTAGATCCGGCAACTTCGAAGGACGGGGAGCTTACCGATAAAGCTGAACTCAGGCAAATACCTACTGAGGAGGTCTACCCATCTGTCTGTTTGAACATGCACGCATGAAATGCAGCAACCCCAAAAAGGGACGTCAGTACGAAACAATGTACCGAGTATGTAAGGCAATATACTGAAAGCTGAAACTGAATTGATAATATAATAATTGAAAACAACTGGGGGTCAAAGATAATCTGAAGATATGCTCACCTGCAGATACTGACTCTATTCTCTCAATATAATAAGTAAAATAGTTGTCCGGCCTTATAAGGCTCGGTAATATATATAACTGCTCTGCCGTAGTAGGCTCACTCATAGGCGCTCGGCCATAAAAGGCTCTATATCTTGACCAGCTGAACGCGCTCATAGGTACTCGGCCACAGTAGGATCGGTATATAACTTACCATCTGATCAGAGGTTGCCCAGTAGGGGCCTGCCCATCGATTATAGCTCGATGGTAATGAAAATAATTTAATACTGTATGTATAAACTCTCTGCTCCCTTGACTGGAAGAAGAAATACGCAATTAAATATGAAGTCCTGATACGGAGAATATTGTAACTTACAAAACTAGGAAAATATACGTAATTTGCGAGACTAGTAAAATATACGTACATTTCGGGATATGAAATTTTTTTTATGCCTCGTTATCAAACTTGTGTAATGATAAGATCATGCAAAAATGAAGGAAGAGTTTAACCTTAATAAACCTGGAATAGGAAAAAATCTGTATGATGTTTTTGGAAAAGGTCACACCGTACTCCCTTAGAACCGCAAAATTTTACGTTTGCTAAATTTTGTTGGAACGTGTAGGAAATCAAGTTGCTTAATGAAATATGTATATGCTGGTTTCAAGTCTTTAGGAATGAAACTTGAAAGAGTTTTAAAAAAGGCCTAACGTTTCTGTCTAAGTTTTGAAACCTTTTGGAATGAAATTGCATGGTTTGTTTTGGTCTTTAATTGAAAGACTTTGATTAGGCAAAGTCTTGGAAATGAAACATATTGTAACTTCATGACACCTTAGCAAGGAATGACTATTAGTCATTTCTTTATAACATGGCTAGCTGCCACGTGGGGTTGGGGTGAGATATTTAATCTTTATCCACTTATTAGGTAATTAGGTAATGTTCTGTTACCCGGTAATTAACCAATTACCCGCATAATTAAAAATTGTCCCAATTTCCACCATGAAATTCCTAGATTTTAGGTTGAAAATTCATGAAATGTAATGGGTAATTGAAAGAAAGTAGGTTAGAATCACTAACCAACAATTTTGGGAAGAAAATATCTTGGAAGAATCGTCTCTAGGCTTTCTAGCTTTTGAAAATTTGAAAGAATGCCTTAACCCTGTAATGATAGTTGGGCGATAGTGTTCATCGTGTTCGCTTGAACACTGTCACGTTAGCGTGAACACTGTTCGAGAAGAGCTACGCCTTAATGGCTTTCGCGATCGCGAGCCTCCTCCGCGTTTGTGAAAGCTGCTCCCCCTTGCCTTCGTGTTCGCGTAGAAGAACGAATGCCCCCCTCCCTAGGTCCCTCAAGCTTCGCGTTTGCAAGAAGCTGGCCACGTTCGCGAAGGGTAAGCTCCCCCATTACTTTGCGTTCGCAACCTAGCTACCGCGTTCGCGTAGAAGAAAAATCACCCTGCCCTGTTTTACTCGTCGCATTCGCTAGAGTACCTTCGCGAATGCGTAGAAGAAAACACTAGATGACAGTTGAAGCCAAAAACCACATTTTTCCTAAGTTCAAAACACTCGTAGCCTATCCAAAACTCACCCGAGCCCTCGGGGCTCCAAACTAAACATGCCACAAGTTCTAAAATATCATACGAACTTGCTCACGCGGTCAAATCGCCAAAATAACACTTAGAACTACGAATTGAACACCAAATGAAATAAAATTTTCAAGAAAGCATTAAAATTTCCAGTTTCACAACCGGACGTGCGAATCACGTCAAACTAACTCCGTTTCTCATCAAATTTCATAGACAAGTCTTAAATATTATAATGGCATGTGCCCGGCTTCAGAACCA